ATGGCAAGTGGTGTCACTTATTTGATATTACCGTTTTTCTTGTTTTTTCATTTGAATTATATATAAATAACTAGTAAAGATAATATACGTACTCTTTCGTATTTTTTTGGGGGAGGGGAGGGGGGGGGGGGGGAGGGAAGAGAGTTGAGGGTGCGTGGGCTGAGGCAAAAAAAGAGGGAAAAAATAGCGCTCACTTTTTTTGTATTTATCATCTGGATTTTATGATTTTTAAGGACCGAAAATTATCCTTTCGTTAATATTACTCTTAAAATTGGTTTTGATGACTGGAAAAAAAAAATTGGTCGTCATAGATACACTTATAATGACCGGTTTCAAACCCCATCGTTAGAATTTGGTCGTTAAAAGTCAAACTTCTTGTAATGTAAGCCGAAGGAATTAAAGGAACAGTTGCAAGAGTTGTTGGATAAGGGTTTCATCAAGCCAAGTGTTACATCTTGAGGTGCACCAGTATTATTTGTGAAGAGAAGGATAGTTCTATAAGAATGTGTATTGACTATTGGCTGTTGAACAAGGTTACAATCAAGAACAAGTAGTCATTGACTTGTATTGGTGATTTGTTTGATCAGCTTCAGGGCGCAAGAGTATTCTTGAAAATCGAAGTGAGATCGAGGTATCATCATTTGAAGATTAGGGCTTCGAATATTCGTAAAACGGCTCTCAAGACTCGTTATGGGCATTATGAGCTCTTGGTTGACTAATATCCCTGCAACTTTCATGCATTTGATGAACAATAGGTTCTAACCTTATTTGGATTACTTTGTTATTGCATTCATTGATGATATCTTGGTATATTCCCGTAGTAGGGAGGAGCACGAGCAACATTTGAGGATTGTTCTTCAGATTTTAAGGGAGAAGAAGTTTTATGCTAACATCTGCAAGTGTGAGTTTTGGTTGGATTCGTGTCATTTTTTGGCCACGTGGTGTCTAGTGATGGGATCAAGGTGGATTCGAAGAAGATCGTGGCAGTTCAAAGTTGGCACAGACCCTCTGCCGCTATCGAGATAAGGAGTTTCTTAGTTTTGGCTAGTTGCTATTGTTGCTTTATGGAAGGGTCTCATCTCTTGCAGGTCCATTGACCAAGTTGTCTCAGAAGGTTACTTTATTCAGATGGTCTGACGAGTGTTTGGAGAGCTTTCAGATGCTCAAGACTACTTTGACTATGGATTTTTATGATCTCACTTAAACAAAGAGCCAGCCTAAATCCTGAATCCTAAATTAGCCTGAAAATTCATTCCCAAGCAAAGAATGAATATGATATTATATTCTCTATTTGTGATTTCTAATTTTCTAGCTTCTATTTCATTTGCTACTTCTGGTGAGATTTCCCCTGTCTTTTGCCTTTCTTGCCTTGATTTTTGCCCATCACTTTCGGATTCTTATGAAAGTTTATCCAGTTTATTTGCTTCATTTTTGGGGTTTTCTACTCTTTCCCATAATTTCTACTGGAATTTTTACATGCATGTCAAAGTTCTGTCGGTCCGTCAGGAATTATGATAAGCCAAGTTTCGCTCATCAATTTGAAATCTCTCAGAAATGGTGACCAAAATTTGGGCAATCCGTTAGGATTTGGCCCCGGTAACTTTGTGACGAGGCAAATTTTCCCATCAATTTAATAAAATGATAGCAATTCGTTATGATTTCTTACCTAATGTTGGCGCCATATTTTTGTAAAAGGTTTCTTAACGGGATCAAAATTCAAATGGTAACAAGTTCTTATTTGTGTAAATCTCCCTAAAATTAAATTTCTGGTGAGGACAAGTGCGTATTGTTCTTAATCGAAAATGTAAAAGTAATATTTAATATTGGAAGATTGAACTAGCTCATATTAAATGACTCAAATCGGTTATGTGAGTTCCTTAAGAGTACCAAAACTTAATGCTCACCTTAAGATTGATGTAATATATACTTTCTCGAACACTTTAAGACCGATCGATTTTTAGAAGATCACTTTCAAAAAATTTGTAACTCACTATACCAAGATTTTCAAGCAAAATATTTACAAGATAAATGAGCTTAAGGTTATTGATGGAGTTTCGTTCGTAGTTTAACTCTTAGTAAATATTTTGGGGAGCTTTGAAAAAGATTAGATAACTGATCACGCCCAACTAAGCCTTATAAAAAGGACTAAGCGGTTGCTGCAAATATAATTCGGTTTACAAGTCCGGAGTCGAATCCCACAGAGAACTAAGGCTTAGCCACAATTGTTCAATATTGCTAAGAAACACAAGTCCAAACAATTTTCTAATTGCAAAGATTATAATATTTATTTTTATCTAATTAACTAACAAATCTAAAAAGCCGTAAAACTATCAATTAACAAGGATAAGTATTGGAGTCAAGATTTAGGAGGTCTAGAGTTATGATTTCTCCAATTGTCGGAATCCTTCCCGCTACGTTTTCTATAAATTCGCCTAAGCATTCTCATGAGCGCTCTGACTGTCGTAACTCTCTCCCGAGTAATTACCATAATTTACTAGACGCACTCTCCCGAGTTACGCTAGCTGGCTTTTGTTACAGCTCACTTACATCGCACCCAAGGTTTTGTTATCCCTAATCCCACCTTTAAACCCTTGGTTATTGATTCCTCACATATGTCGGGAGTGATGTTGTTCAACAACTACCTAAATATGCACTCTCTCCCGAGTAATACATACTAAATAGGCACAGCTAATTGAGGGCCCTTCAATCAACCACAAGAATAATATAGTTGAACAAATAGAGAAAATATTACGGCTCAATTATATAAAAACATAACAAGAATTTATCCTACAAAAGGTTCCATCATAACCCTAGATAACATATTAGCTATTCATAATACTATGTAAAACTACAATACTAAAAATTATAACTGATGTTCTAAACGTCAATACCACACAAGAGGGGGGGAGGGTGATTTGTGTAGTACCCAATTTTCGCTCAAGAAGAACCTGGTTCTTCTAGGTGTACTTACTACTACTGTTTGCGGAATTAAGAGTACATAAAATAAAGAACACAGAGATTTTTACGTGGAAAACACCTGGCTCAAAAGGTGAAAAAACCACGACCTACTACTCAGTAGGATTTTCCCAAACTTCCACTAAAATCACCGAGCCAAAACAGCATTTACAAAACTCTTGTAAACCTAAGGATTAAACTTTAATCCCGGTGTGGCACACAGCCTCAACTGTTGCGACACCTTCAAGTTAGCCTATAACTTGAATACTCAAAGTACCTATTACAATTGCTTCTACAAAAGCTGGAATGGTATAACTTTAAACCACCTACTACTATTGAACTAGAATAAGAATAAACACAATGGAATTGGTTCTTCTATCTTGTCCAAGTAGCTTTAGGAATGCACACTTGAATCTCACATAAATTGCTTGCAAAATTGCCTCGCACTTTTGCTCTCAATTTAGTTTAACTTCTGCGTTTGTGCAATACCTGTAAAAGAGAACAATTACTGTTATTTAATGAGTTAGTTATCAGAGTTTGATTGAGACTCAATTGTTGATCTTCCATCGAAGTTGAGTCCTTAAACAATACAAACTCCAACCCTATCCTTTATCCGGATTGTGTCCTCTTCCCATGAGGATACTTTCTTTCCTCATCCAATATGCAACCTTTTCGATCAGTTCAGGAGATATTGCTGCTTTATCCTTGAGACTTATCTCCTTCACGTGTATCTCACATCTGTGTCTCACATGATGGACCTAGTCCATGACTGAGTTCATTTGTCATTCTTCAAAACTTCACCTGAACTTGGGTCAATAAATTCCCCCTTTTTGATGATGACAAACTCTGTGCTTTTACTGATTAGAGAACCTGTGGAACTCACTTAATCATCAACACTTTAACTTAGAAATTTTAACTATCATCAAGGACCAGGTTTAATCAGGTTATAAATATCACATTATTCAGAATAACAAGTAAAGCACAATATCTCTTTCCCCTTTTGGCATCATCCAAAAGTTGCAAATAATGTGAATCCCAGATTTTATTAATTACTCATAGCCACTGGGGCAACTGCAAGTGAAAAATATGGTTCAATTAATCAACAACCAACAAACAAAATTAACTATTAAGATCAAAATCTTCATAGAACAAGAGAAAAAGCAAATTGTCATTGATTAGGATATGTTTCCACAAACAGACCACAAAGAGAAAGAAAAACTTCCAAACATGAGCAACAAAAACAGAAAAAGTCCCGAATCTGGGTCACTGGGGGTTCTAGATAGGTTCAAAAACAAGAACTGGAGGACCTAAGGCTTGGAGGAACTAGAGGGCTGGGTTTGGAGAAGGTTGAGCATATTCAGCTGAAGCATTCCTTCACGTTTCTCCTTTTCTTTTGCTAGCTCAGCTCGAAGGCCATCTCTTTCAGCTTCCAAATCAGCAACACGAGCCTGAAGCCTAGCAATTTCAGCGTCCTTAGTCCCACACTCTTGAACCAAAGCCCTAACCTTGCTATTCACTGGTGTCTTCAGAGATGAACCAGGTTCAACTAGGGTGGCATTGACAGGATAGTCACAAGCCAATAAGGTCTTAACACCAAAATGCTCCTTGGTTGATGCCATCTCCCATTTCTTCAAAGGCACCCTAAGCCTGTCCAACACAGTAGTCAGTATGAACCCATATGGAGTTGCATGTGCCTTGGAGCCATTAATGACCCTGTCCAGTAGTTTGACAATAAAAGCAGGCCAATTTATCTGCTTTCCTCTCACAAGGCATTCCATAAGCACCAGGTCCATATAGTTGGCAGTATGCCTCCTCTCCTGTCTAGGCAGCAGGCATTTGTTAACAAATTCAAACAAGACCTTGTGCTCAAGTCTCATCTCACTCTTCTGAACAAATCTGGCTTCAGGTACATCTTCAGCATTTGCAGCTTCACAAAAATTCCTAGTGATTAGGAGAGCAGTGGGGAGAGATTCCAGACATGGCCACCTTTGCCTTGTATAATTATCATACCCTTCACCTTTTTTTTTCCAAAACAAAGCCTTACATTACTGCAACAACGAACAACAAAGTTCAAATGTACTCTTTGCATCCTGGACAACCCAAGTTGGGAAAAACTTCTCCCAGGAGATGTCCTTCAACAAAGAAATAAAAAATTTAGCTAGACTATGCGCTACTTTATTTAACCTCCTTGGAATATAAAGAAACTGGACGTGATCTAACATGCTTGATAGCTTCCAAATGTCTTCACACAACACTTCTATCTCCCATGAAGTAGCCACCTGTTTTTGGATCATATCAACAACATTCTTAGCATCAAAGAAAATCTTCACACTTTTCCATCCAAGAGTAATAGCACATTCAAGTGCCTTTCGTATGGCAAGCGCTTCAGCAGTCATGGTTTTTCCAACATATTGAATTGAGGATCCATGGGCAAGAAGCAGTTTTCCAAGGCTATTCAAAGTCGCGACACCAATACTCGCATGTCTATCATCACACCGTAATCCTGCATCTGTAAATAATAAAACATCATCTTGAAAACGTGTTAGTTTAGGCAGAAACTCATTTCCAGCTGAATGTCGTGCAGCGAGGCAACTAGTCAATAGATCTTTATATTCTTCATACTCAAAAAGAGCTTTAGAAACAATCTCAGTTGGCCCTAACATTTCCTGATTAAAGCACCAAGCATTCCTACCCTTCCAAATTTGCCACATAATATTAACACTCAAATTTAACAATTCAGTAGATTCAGGAAAGTGTTTAGCAGTTAAAAGTAAGTTGTACCACCACACAGAGAAGTCATTTATGTTGTCAATATCAGGCCAATTAATAGGACTTTGTTTCCATACAAGCTGAGACCGAGGACATCTAAATAGCATATGTTCTATATCTTCACTTTCAAGACCACAAATCTTACACGTTTTATCCAGGTTCTGTAATCTTTTAGCTAAGGTATAATTAACGGGCAAAGAGTTAATCACACACTTCCTTAGAAAATGTTTAAGTTTATTTTTAATGTCTAAGTTCCACAAGGAATCCCAGAAGCTTTTAGGAAAAGAATGACAACTCGCCTGGGCTTCCACATTCCTAATAGTCTTACCGGCCAAACCCTTTGCTAAATAGTAACCTTACTTAACATCATAGTTTCCAGATTTTGAGTGATGCCACAGTAATCTATCATTAAGACCTATGATGGATATGGGTATAGACAAAATTGCATCTACATCTTCAGGTTCAAAGGTCGTAGTTATCTTATGAATTTTCCAGGTATGCGTATCTTCGTCAATTAAGTCGGCCACCTTAAGATCTAAACTGTTTTGCATTTGAATACTTTTTGGAGTAAAACTATTATTTCTTGGAATCCAAGGATCAGTCCAGACATTTATATTTTTCCCATCAGAGATCCTCCACCTTAGTCCAGTAACTAACAGATCTCTTCCCCACAAAATACTTCTCCAGATCCATGATCCTGTAGATGATGTAGAAGCGTCAAGGAAAGTGGAGTGTGGAAAGTATTTGCTTTAAAGAACTATTGTTAACAACGAATCCGGGTACGACAATATACGCCAAGCTTGTTTAGCTAACAAAGCCATATTGAAAGCCTTTAAATCCCTAAATCCTAATCCCCCGCTTGATTTAGAATCACATAATCTTTCCCATTTCTCAAAATGCATCTTCCTTTTATCCTCAGTTTGACCCCACCAAAAGTTAGAAAAAAGATATGTAATCTCCTTGCACAGACCATCAGGGAGTTGGAAGCAAGACAAGGCATAGGTAGGAATAGCTGCAAGTACAGATTTAAGCATTACTTCTTTCCCTGCTGTACTTAAAAATTTACCCTTCCATCCCTTTATTTTTGTCTTGACTCTATCCTTAATAAACTCTAACATCTTTTTCTTTGAACGTCCCACAATAGCTGGTAATCCTAAATACATACCCATCTCATTTCTTTGTTGTAGTCCAAGTAAGCAAATTATCTCTACTTTCTCCTCCTCCGGTACATTTCTACTAAAACAAATAGCTGATTTATCTAAATTAACCACTTGGCCAGAACTTTGCTCATACTTGCTTAGAATCTCAGCTACTTTTCCAGAATCTCACCTAGTGTGATTGTATCAAATTACAGTTTTACACCCTTCACCAGGCTGGAGACTACTCCATTTTTCACAGTGGCATTGGACATAAACTCTATCAACTCATTTCTAGCCAGCCTTCCATCCATCTCAAGGACCATGTCCTTCCAACCTTGTGCAGTAAGAGCATCCATCAATCTTCTCATACCTGGCTCATCCAGGTCTTTCAACAATCTTCCTTTCAAAATTTTCTTTCTGCCAAAGATGGCAAACCTATCTTGATCTTTCTCAGATTCCTCCTCTTCTTCACCACCACTCCACTCTACATCTTCTTCAACAATTTTCTTTTGTTTACCCTTCACAGCAGACCTAGTTCTTTTGGCTAAAGAAGATTCAGCAGGTACAGGTGAAGAGGAAGATTTCTTGGAAGAAGTCTTGGATCTTTTTTGTTTGGGAGTAGGAACTTCTTCAGTTGTTCCTCTTTCTTGATGGACCAGGTCCATCTCCTCTTCTTCTTCTTCTGCAATCTCAACACTCTCCACAACCTTAGCCTTTCCTTTTTCCCTCTTTTTCTTCCTGCTCTCATCCAGAGCTTTCTGCAATTCTGCTTCACCTTGCTTCTAGTAGCTCTTCCCTTTGGTACTGAAGGGACAGTAGGCTTTGGAGATGACACTTTACTTTTCTTTGTTGGCTTGGAAGCAGTTGGAGCCTTTTGTGTGGAAGCCTTGCGCTTCTTTGGATCATAACTGGCCCCAACCTTCTTCAGAAGTTCTGGCAAAGTTTCCTCAACAGATGCACCAGGTTCATCTTGATGCTTACTTAAATTTACTAGCCCTTCAGCCGCCTCCCCAGAACTATTTCCCCCTGAGTTGTTACTACTCTCTTCAACATTCCCACAGATAGCCAATAATTTTTCTTTCTTATTTCCCCTCACATTACCACTGTCTCCCTCTCTCTCTCTCTCTTTCTTTCTTTTTACCTCCTCTTCTACTAGAATCAGCACCCTGTACATCCTTGACAGGACCAACCAAGACAAACCTATTTTCAACCTTTTCAACTACATCAGAGAATACCAAACAAGTATTTACCTCACCAGGGGTTTCTTGATTTTTGTCAGTGACAGAGGAACCATGTTCTTCACCTTCGCTGGCAGAGATAAAAGCTTCAGACTCAGAGCTGGAGTCAGATTCTTTAGCAGAAATTTCCTTCTTCTGGCTAGCCCTCAATTTCTCATTTAGAGCTTTTCTCAAAGAACCAGAAGCTACAGTTTTTCTAGCCAATATTTTCTGCCGGCGGAACCTTGGTTTTGGGGTTTCACTAGGGGGTGTAGATGAGGATGTATTAGAAGGGGATACTGGTGGGGGAGTTCCAGGATTATCTTGGGGATTAGTCATGGTGAATTATTTCTAGAGAAGATTTGGGAATTTTGGAGAGAAAAAGATAATCAGAACTAGAGAGGATTTTGACGGTTATGAAATAATGAAGAAGGATGTGGTTAGTATTTAACGATGATTAGAAGTAATTGCAGTAACGACGGTTTTTTGCAGGAGTCAATTAGAAGTCTAATCACTTTAGAATTTCGGTCTCTTAGTGGTTAATAGGTGATGCTAGATTTTAGGCAAAAATCCCGTTTTCTTTAGAGTTCTAGGAGAATGAAACATGTTCAATGCTCAACGGATAGAATTTCTGGGAATTTGATGAATGTAGGACTTCTGCTCATGATTGAAAAATTAATCTTTCTAATTGTGCAACGTATAGAAAACATACCTGAACTTTCTCATAAGCATATACTGATGAACCAGGCTCTTCAAGTAGAACTCTCTTGAACATTCCTCAAATGTCATAATAGAAAAAACTTTGTAAGAGATCAGTGAGTCATATATACACATGTCACAGAAGTATACTGATTAAAGTATGAAACTGAGTAAGAATTGATCTAGATATTTACACAATAGTTAGAACTCCTAACCAAAAAAAAAATTCATTTTGTTTTCCATTTTTTTTTCATTGTGCATTCTGAACCGGACCTATTAGGTGATCTTAATCATCCCTAATTCCAACCTGTTCCTCTCAAAGTTTTCTCTACTCAGTGCTTTAGTAAAGATGTCAGCTATCTGTTTATCAGTAGCACAGAATTCTATTGAAATCAATCCTTTCTCATAGTTATCTCTTAAGAAATGGTGTGTAACATCTATGTGCTTAGTCCTCTTATGATGAACAGGGTTCTTTGTCATACTTATAGCACTAGTATTATCACAGAATATTGGAATACATCCCACTTCAATTCCAAAATCTACCAGCTGTTGTTTGATCCATAGTAATTGAGCACAACAAGAAGCAGCAGCAACATACTCAGCTTCAGCAGTAGATAGGGCCACAGAGTTTTGCTTTTTGGTAGCCCATAATACAAGACATGAACCAAGGAAGTGTGCCATACCTAGGTGCTCTTTCTATCCACTAGGAAACCTGCATAATCAGCATCAGCATATCCTACTAGATCAAAATTACTACCTTTAGGATACCAAAAGGCACAGATCAGTGGTTCCTTTTAGATATCTCAGTATCCTCTTGACAGCAGCCAAGTGAGACTCTTTTGGATTTGCCTGAAAACGAGCACAAAGTCCTACACTGAAAACAATGTCAGGTCTGCTAGCAGTGAGATACAAAAGTGAACCAATCAATACCCCTATACAACTTTTGATCAACTGATGAACCGGGTTCATCAACATCTAATTTAGTGGCAGTTGCAATGGGTGTGTCTATTTCTTTAGATTCCTCCATTTTAAACTTTTTGATTAGCTCTTTTGTATACTTCTGCTGATGGATCATGGTTCCATTTGGACTTTGTTTGATCTGTAAGCCTAAGAAGAAATTAATCTCACCCATAATGCTCATTTCAAACTCACTCCCCATTAATTTTGCAAAGTCCTTACTTAGCTTGTCAGTGGTGGCCCCAAAGATTATGTCATCAACATAAATTTGCACAACAAGGAGATCCTTACCTTTTTCCCTTAAGAATAAGGTACTATCTATTTTGCCTCTCTTGTAACCACGCTCCAGCAGGAATTTTGACAGTCGTTCATACCATGCTCTTGGGGCCTGCTTGAGTCCATAGAGAGCCTTGTCCAGCTTGTACACATGCTCAGGACATTCCTTACTCTCAAACCCTGGAGGTTGTTTCAAAACACTTCTTCTTTTAGGTAGCCATTTAGGAAGGCACTTTTGACATCCATCTGATGAAGAGTGAATTCCATATGTGCTGCAAAGGCTATGAGAAGTCTAATTGTCTCTAGTCTTGCAACTGGAGCAAAAGTCTCATCATAGTCTATGCCCTCCTCCTGGCTGTAACCTTGGACCACCAATCTTGCCTTGTTCGTTGTAATTGTTCCACCTTCATCAAGTTTGTTCCTGAAGACCCATTTTGTACCAATGATTGATCTGTCCTTGGGTCTTGGTACTAGGTGCCAAACTTGACTCCTTTCAAACTGGTTAAGCTCATCCTGCATTTCATTCACCCAATCTACATCCTGCAAAGCCTCAACAACATTTTTAGGTTCAATGATAGATAGAAAAGCATCAAAAGCACACAGATTCTTTAATTGTGATCTGGTTTTAACTCAAGATGTTGGATCAGTGAGAATGTTCTCAATGGGATGAGAACTTTGATACTTGTGAGGTTTCACAACCAACTAGCTTCTGCTAGATGTTTCTGCCATTTGTTGAAGAACAGGATCATGAACAGGTTCCTTCAGGGAATTTATTTCAATTCCACTTTGATTTCTTCCCCCTGTCAGGTTGCCCTGTATGGAAGAACCTGTTCCATCACATGTTCCTTCTGTTGGTGCCACTTTGACCTGAGTTGATGCTTCAGTCAAGTCTTTTACCAATCCAATGGCTTCATCTTCATGATCTTGTCTCTCAGAAAGAATGTTAGTTTCATCAAATACTAAATGCACACTTTCTTCTACACACAAAGTTCCTTTATTAAACATTTCATATGCTTTGCTATGTGAAGAATATCCCAAGAATACTCCCTCATCACTTCTGGGATCAAACTTTCCTAGGGAGTCTTTTCCATTATTGTGCACATAGCACTTGCAACCAAATGCCCTAAGATGGGATATGTTTGGTTTTCTCCCTTTAAGTAACTCATAGGGAGTCTTCTCTACCAGAGGTCTGTTCATGCATCTATTTATTATGTAACATGTAGTGTTTACAGCCTCTGCCCAGAAGCTGTGAGGCAATTTACTAGAAAGTAGCATGGTTCTAGCCATATCCTCAAGAGTTCTATTCTTTCTTTCAACTACTCCATTTTGTTGAGGGGTCCTAGGGGCAGAGAAGTTATGATCTATACCATTTTCATCACAGAACTCAGCAAACTTGGAATTTTCAAATTCAGTTCCATGATCAGACCTAATGGAGGCAAGTTGATTTCCTAATTGTTTCTGAGTTTTTCTAACAAATGCAGAGAACATGTCAAATGCTTCATCTTTGGAGGTTAGAAATAGAACCCAGGTAAATCTAGAATAATCATCAACTAGAACCATTATATATTTCTTTCCACCTCTGCTCATGGTTCTCATTGGACCACATAGATCCATATGGACCAGTTCCAACGACTTGGTTGTACTTACCATTTTCTTGCTTTTGAAGGATGACCTTACCTGCTTCCCCCTTGCACATGCCTCACAAACTTTGTCTTCCTTGAACTTGATATTAGGTAGCCCTATCACCAAGTCTTTAGAGACTAACTTGTTGAGCTGATTTAGACTTGCATGACCAAGTCTTTTGTGCCACAAGAGGGGATCATTAACCAACACACTTAAACAAGTGAGTTCATTTTCTGAAAGAGTGGACAAATCTACAATGTAAATATTGTTAACTCTTTTTCCCTGCAAAACAATCTTGTCAGTGATAAGGTTAATCACAAAGCATTTGGTGGAGGTAAAAGCCACAAGGTTACCTCTGTCACACAATTGTGACACACTTATTAGGCTATATTTCAAGCCATCTATCAGGTAGACATTCTCTATGAAATGAGAATATGTTTTGCCTACCTTTCCAACCCCAATGATCTCACCTTTCTTTCCATTACCAAAGGAGACATTACCTCCTTTTAAGTCCTCAAGTGAAAAGAACTGGTCCTTGTCCCCAGTCATATGTTTTGAGCAGCCACTATCCATATACTATATTTGGCTCCTCCTTTTCACTTGGACCTGCAAAAGGAACAGGGGTTAGTCTTAGGAACCCAAAATAGTTTGGGTCCCTTTCTATAAGCAAAAGGGTGAATCAAGTTCCTTCTTGCCCATCCAGGCAGCTTACCTTTTTCTTGAACAAAGGCTTTGTTCTTTTGACTAAACTTTACTTTTGCATTACATTCAATTTTGTAATGACCAGTCTTGCCACAGTGTGTGCATATTTTGTTTTCAGGAAGTGTGAGGTACTTGCTTTTAGGGTCCCATTTTGGTGTTTGAGTCCCATAGCCAAGTCCTCTCTTGTTGCTACTGTGATGTTGCAACCAAGAGAGTGCATCAGAAGCCTTGTTCCACTTGCAAGTTCTGTCTAGTTCATGTTTCACCTTTTCTAGATCTTCCTTTATGATAACACAAAGGTTGGGAGATCCAAGAACTTGAAGAAAATAAGTTGATGAAATGCAGAAGTAGCAAAGAAATGCAAGCGGAGCAAGAAAAATAAACTAGATATGTTGAAATTCAAGGAAAGGTCCAAGAACCCCGAGATTATGTTAATCTAGATTTTGACAAGATCCTAATGACAACAAGTTGGTTATGAAACCAATTGCCTTCACTAGAGATAAGCTAATCAAGAACTAGATTCGGATCTTGACTTCTAGTTTGAATAACTTACGACAACAACTAGTAAAAGAAACTAGTCGCCTTCGAAGAATATCAAAAGAAACCAAAGATATCACAAGAAAGAAAATTATCTTACTACCTTAAGCTATGAACTAGTTAGGGTTGCAAGATAAATCTTCAAAGTAAAGTTCACAAAGGTTAAAAAAAACTCACAATAATAATATTAATCTTCAATGTCCCCACAATGGAAGACAAGCCCCCCTTTATATAGTAGTAAAGAAGGAGCTAGTCAAAACTTCAATAAATGAGAATTATATTCCCTAGAAGCATAGAAGACTACCCACACTAAGACCAATGTATTCAACATACACATAGACCAATGCAAGTCAACATAGATTAAAATAACTATTAAATATATATTCTAGAAACTATTTTTGGGCTTATTTGGGCTGCTGAAAATTCCTCTCTTTTGGGGCATATTTGCGCCTCATTCCATCTCCTCTTGGACTTTAATTTGGGCCTCAAAATAGTTGAAAGACTTGGCCCAAAGATCCTTCTTGTGCTGGAGCTCTTCTTCTATTATAAGACACTTTTTAATTGCCAATTGCTTGTCTTGAAATTTCTTTGTTTGAGACCTTGTCATGGGCCTTCTTGGAGCTTCCAGAACTTCATCCTTCTCCTTTAATGATGTTGAGCTGCCATGAATGCTATCACTTTAAGACTTTGATGAATTCATCCTTCTTATACGATTCATCTTTCATTTTTCCCAAATTTTCTTCTAGAGTGAGATGTGTGTGATCAGATTTCTTCTTTCCTGTTCCTAGTTTCAGTTTCAAGTTTTCAGACCTAAGTTCTAGGATAATGTTGTCAAGTTCAAGAACCTGGTTCTTCAACTCAGCATTTTTATCATCACTCTCATTTGCCCTAGACTCTAGACTTTTGCATTTTGCTTTTAGGATCACACATTCCCTAGACAGAACTTCCTTCTCATTGTTAATTATTTCAGACTCATCAATGAAGTCTAGTAATAGCTCGGCCAACCTTTCTTTAGACATGAATTTAATCTTGTCTTTGAGATGAAGAATACTTACCTCTTGTTCATCATCTGATTCTCCGATGGCCATCAGTGCTTGCTCTTCTTCAGCTTCATCTTCTGAGTCTTCATCTGAGGTTTCTCCCCAAGCAGCAACTATAGCCTTGGTTGAACCTTTGTTTCTTTTTGGTTGAACCTGTTCCTTCTTCCTGTTCCTTCGTTCAGCTCTTTCTTTCTTCCACTCAATTTCCCATTGAGGGCAGTTCTTGATCATGTGATCAGTCTTACCACACTTGTGGCAACCCTCATTGGTCTGTTTCTCAAGAGCTCTTGTCTTGTTGAAAGTTGTACCTCTTGAAGAACCCTTTCCTCTCATCAGGTACTTTTTGAAATCTCTAGTGATCATAGCCATCTCATCATCTTCCAGATCTGAACCTTCAGCAATTCTGAGAGCTAAGCTTCTCTCCTTCTTGGGGGTATCCATCTTCATGGTTTTCCTTCTCATTTCATAAGCAATCAGATTTCCAATCAGTTCATCCAGTCTGAGAGTAGCAATATTCTTGGATTCCTGAATAGCAGTCATTTTGCTTTCCCGTGTGACTGGCAGAACCCTTGTCAGAATTTTCTCAACCTTGTCTTCTTCAAGAATAACCCTTCCAAGAGACTTAAGTTCATTTGTCAGTGTAGTGAACCTAGTATACATCTCCTGGATAGTTTCTCCTTCCTTCATAGTAAAATTCTCATATTGAGAATACAGCAGTGTTCCTCTTGATCTTTTCACTTGAGGTGTTCCTTCATGGGCCATATCTCCTTAGCAGCAGTACAACTTTGGATCCTACTGTACCCATCTGGACCTAGTCCACACACAAGCCATTTCTTGGCCTTAGCATTTTTCTCCCACTTCCTCAGGTCTTCAGTAGTACAGTCAGCCCTTGTCTTTGGCACATCAACTCCTTCAGCATTCTTCTTTGTGGTTGCTAGGAGACCATCAGTGACTATGTCCCAGAGTTCATAGTTTTCCCCTATTGTGTGATCTCTGATCCTGTTCTTCCACCAAGAATAGTACTGACCATTGAAAAGTGGAGGTATAGCAGTGGATTGCCCCTCCCAGTTCCCAGGTGGTGCACTCATGTTGATCTTCTCCTAAGATGTTAGCCTCTTCAAGGATAACCTGATCTGATACCAAATGATGTTCTATACGTCAATACCACACAAGGGGGGGGGGGGGTTGATTTGTGTTGGACCCAATTTTCTCTCTAGAAGAACCTAGTTCTTCTAGGTATACTAACTACTGCTATTTGCGGAATAATAAATACAAAAAATAAAGAACACAGAGATTTTTACGTGGAAAACACTTGGCACAAAACCTACTACTCAGTAGGATTTTCCCAAACTTCCACTAAAACCACTGAGCCAAAACAGCATTTACAAAACTCTTGTAAACCTAAGGATTAAACTCTAATCCTAGTGTGGCACACAGCCTCAACTGTTGCGACACCTTCAAGTTAGCCTATAACTTGAATACTCAAAGTACCTATTACAATTGCTTCTACAAAAGCTGGAAAGGTACAACTTTAAACCGCCTACTACAATTGAACTAGAATAAGAATAAACACAATGGAATTGGTTCTTCTATCTTGTCCAAGTAGCATCAGGAATGCACACTTGAATCTCACATAAATTGCTTGCAAAATTGCCTCGCTCTTTTGCTCTCAATTTAGTTTCACTTCTGCGTTTGTGCAACCCCCTGTAAAAGAGAANGGCCATGAGCAGCTTTATTTCAGGTGTTATGACTTGTACGCGTGGTCGGAATTGGATTTCGGGAAGTTCGGAGTTGGTTTGGGAAGAGACTTCTCATTTCGAAAGCTTAAAGTTGAAAGAATTAACTTGGATTAGATTTTTGAGTAAACGACCTCAAAATCAGGATCTGAAGGTTCCAACAGGTTCGTATGATGATTTCGGACTTGGGCGTATGCCCGGTTCGGGTTTTGGATAACCCGGGAGCGTTTTGACGCCTATTGTGGAAGTTAGCATTTTAGAAGAAATTTCATAAGTTTGGCTTGAAGTGCATTTCAGTGTTATCGATGTCCGTTTGGGATTCCGAGTCTGTGAATAGCTCCGTATGGTGATTCTGGAGTTGGGAGCGCGATCAGAAATGAATTCGAAGGTCCGTAGGTCATTTTGGAGTCATTTGGCTAAAGATAGAATTTAAAGGTTTTTGAGGAGTTTGACCGGAAGTGGACTTTTTGATATCGGGGTCGGAATCCGAATCCGGACGTTGGAGTAGGTCCATAATGACGAATATGACTTGTGTGCAAAATTTGAAGTCAATCGGACGTGATTTGATAGGTTTAAACATCGAAAGTGGAAGTTGGAAATTTCAAAGTTCATTAAGCTTGGATTGGGGCGCGATTCATGGTTCTAGCATTGTTTGGTGTGATTTGAGACTTCGAGCAAGTCCGTATTATGTTTTTAGACTTGTGCGGGTGTTCGGTTTGGAGCCCCGGGGGCTCGGGTGTGATTCGGGATAGCTTCGGAGTGATTTGCTAAGAAATAGGATTGCTGGTACTGGTATGATCGCATTTGCGATGCATTGGTCGCAAATGCGACCTCGCATTTGCGAGTTTCCGTTCGCATTTGCGAGCCTGGGCTTCCACGGGAAAGCTCGCATTTGCGAACGAGGGATCGATTTTGCGAGGCTGTCACCTTCGCAATTGCGAAGGATATTGTCGCAAAAGCGACCGGGATAGGGTGGGCTAGGCTTCACATTTGCGATGCAATTGTCGCAAATGCGACATCGCAATTGCGAGCCTGGAGTCGCAAATGCGACTTCTGCGTCTGGAGTTGTGGCTTTCTATTCCGAGACTTAGCCCATTTCTTCTAGCCCATTTTATGGCTTGATGATGTTCTAAACGTCAATACCACACAAGAGGAGGGGGGGGTGATTTGTGTGGTACCCAATTTTCGCTCTAGCAGAACCTGTTTCTTCTAGGTGTACTTACTACTACTGTTTGCGGAATTAAGAGTACATAAAATAATGGACACAGAGATTTTTACGTGGAAAACACCTGGCTCAAAAGGTGAAAAAACCACGACCTACTACTCAGTAGGATTTTCCCAAACTTCCACTAAAATCACTGAGCCAAAACAGCATTTACAAAACTCTTGTAAACCTAAGGATTAAACTCTAATGCATACAGCCTCAACTATTGCGACACCTTCAAGTTAGCATATAACTTGAATACTCAAAGTACCTATTACAATTGCTTCTACAAAAGCTGGAAAGGTACAACTTTAAACCACCTACTATAATTGAACTAGAATAAGAATAAACATAATGGAATTGGTTCTTCTATCTTGTCCAAGTAGCTTCAGGAATGCACACTTGAATCTCACATAAAGTGCTTGCAAAATTGCCTCGCTCTTTTGCTCTCAATTTAGTTTCACTTCTGCGTTTGTGCAATACCTGTAAAAGAGAACAATTACTGTTATTTAATGAGTTAGTAATCAGAGTTTGATTGAGACTCAATTGTTGATCTTCCATCGAAGTTGAGTCCTTGAACAATACAAACTCCAACCCTATCCTTTATCCGGATTGTGTCCTCTTCCCATGAGGATACTTTTTTTCCTCATCCAATATGCAACCTTTTCGATCAGTTCAGGAGATATTGTTGCTTTATCTTTGAGACTTATCTCCTTCACGTGTATCTCACATGTATAGGTTGATAAACACTGTGTCTCACATGATGGACCTGGTCCATGACTGAGTTCATTTGTCATTCTTCAAAACTTCACCTGAACTTGGGCGAACAATAACCAACAATGAAAAATAGGAAGAGGAAGGAAAAACTTGTTGAAGAATTCCCCGCCTTGCTCCTATTGTGTCTCTGCCTCCTTAGGTCGAAACTGTGTCAAAAATATGTCCAATCTCCCAAAAATACCATTTTTTTCATGTATATATACCAAGTAGGGTCGGGCCCAAATAATTATACCTTCTCCTAACCATTTTTCATGTCTGGACGGCCGCGGTCGTGGTCAACCGCGGTACGGACGCGGTATTTGGCAAGTGTAAAGCCTCAGCCCGCCTCAGGTCCGCGGTCGCGGTTTCGACCGCGTTTTTCACCCTGTTCTATTTGGAATTTGGAAAACACACCGTTAGTGTAAAACACTAGCGATTAAAGCGCAATCTCAACTAAAGTGCAGTAAATTAGAGTGTAATAATCGACTAAAATACGTAATTATAGCCTATCATCAATAACTAAGGTGGCACTATAAAAGACGGTTAATTAGTCAATTGATTGCACTGTGTAGCTATTTCCAAAGCTGTTATTCTCTCACCCATCCTCAATTATTATGTAGATGCATGTCTATCTCTTTTTTACCTATGTGTTTGCTAGGTTTTTGAATTTAAAAAGGGCAAATTTTCCTCAGAAAGTTAACTTATTCATCGAGTTCCTTTTTATCTGCCGAAAATTGATGTTTTGATTTTTCCGTTTCCTATTTTTAGGTTTTTGTTTTTCCTAGCTTTGTATGCATATGGATTTTCTTAAACTAGCTAATTGTGGCTGGTAATTTTGTTCTTTTTCTCCATATATAACTAATGCTTTATGGATTTGTTTTACATAGATCACTTCTTTTGTGAAGCAGATGATGAGAGATCATGGGATCCATTCTTCGTCGTCTCAGTTGTTGGTCCTTTATTGTTCATTTGTTGCCGTTATCGTTTATCCAGTAAGTATTTTTTGGCCACTTAATCTGGTTTCTTCTATAAATAGTTTGTCCATTATAATTATTCGATATTTCGTGTAAAAATGATATAGTATTTGAATCTCTGCAATTTATATGTTACAGTTATCTCCAATGACGCTTATTCTTTAATTTCTGATGGGTCGTTAGAACTTATAGCAGCTAAATTCTTCTGAATCTACGGGCAAAGAATAGAAAATCTCTATCGCAATGAACACACATAAAGTTGAAATTAAGATGATGTACAGTTGTTGTGTGTAAAAGGCATTTTTGTTAGAGGCTATACGTCTTTACTATAAAAGAAAAATGGGACTATGCTTTAGAAGTTCTAAGAGTGGTACATGAAACTGGAAGAAATGAACCCATAAGCATAGGGTTTTCCTTCTCATATGTTTATTACTGATAATATGATACTGAAAGTGCAGCAAGTTACTTTAGTTACCCAAATGTTTAAACCTAGGTTTGCTGCTACCACCATACAAAAACAGGGATTATTTAAACAAGGATAAACATATAAGTGGTGAGCTTCAGTTCAACTATTGTTCTTGTCTGTTTGGTGCTTTTTGTGTTCGTTATTTCAAACCCTTGAATGCCTAGAAGTTAATAGAAGACTGTTGTAGCCACATAATTGCTCTGAATTTAATTTAACTGTGTTGCCCTCACATCAAGGGCTTGAATCACCAAACTAGAGTGGAGGATGGAAATCAGCAACCATTTATGTTTCAAGGTGATATCATATGATATTAATGTTAGGAGACCAACATTTTACTTATTTTCTGTACATACATTGTCGTTGCATTTTACTTCTTTTAGTCTCCATACAATGACATAAAAGAAGACCTTCAATCTTCTCTCTATAGAAGTGGTTCTATACAGATCTATACTATTTGTTCAATTCTTTTGATGAAGTATTAAGTATGTATTGAATCTTCCACCAAATTCTGCAGCTTTAGGATACCTACTGCAGAAATGATCTATTTCAAGACAAAAAGTATTGCTCAATCTTGTAGCACTACAGTTATTATTTGTGAAAGAGATGCAAGTGAAGAATAAGGTCAAGAGGTAATTTTGATTACCTTTGTTTCATGCCTATGGTTAGTGGAACATAGTGGTTACTGGAATGTTTGTGGACAGGACAAAAAGTGAAAAGCAAGCTGCAGTGCAAAATTCATTTTCCTGCAAAACAACCGTTGATAAATAGGAAAAAAAATATTATAAATTTACATGTGATGGAGCCAATTAGAATTTTTAGAGAACTACCACATGTACATATGTTGCTATATTTTATGTTTTAGTAGGTAGGTCAGTGTTGTGAAGAGCGTCAAGCGAGGAAAAGCGAGAAGCTCCTTTTTTCTTAAAGAGAGAAAAAATGACAGTTAGTAAGAAAATGGCAGTAAGAACTAAGAAGAACTGGAAGACTAAAACAGAAAAAAATGGCAGTAAGCAAGAAAACAATTGGGCAGCATTTCACCGCGATTTTAAGGACCGAAACGAGGAGAAGGAGAAGAAGAAGAAGAAGAAGAAGAAGAAGAAGAAGAAGAAGAAGAAGAACTGAAGGAAAAAAATTGGCAGTATTTCGTCGCTATTTTAGGAATTCAGTATTCCCGATTATTTAATCTCTTTCTTCATTCTAGATATTAAACAACTAACGTGTTTCTTTAAGGCGCAGAGCGTGTAAAAAGGTCAAAAGACAAGATAATATTGGTTGAGAAAGAGTATGGTAATAAATTATTTATCGGACATTGTCTTTACCTTATAAAAGTAGAGAAGTTGTTTCTAATAGACCCTTGGCTCAGTAAACATAGTCACAACAAGGACTATTGTTTAGAAACATTATTGAAATATCCAACTCTAACGGGATTCCTAGATTCTTTTTACTCCACGTTTAATTTTCACCAATATTAATATTTAACTAAATTTCATTGCCAATCTTAATTCTTAGGCATATGCTTTCTTCTTTATTATATCAAAGAAAACCTGGAAGCTTTTCCAGGTTTGGTGCTAAACGATATCTAACATATTAAAACTTATGATTCACTGCTGTAGTAAGTTGAATTCAGTAATAGATGGTTAATATTTTGGCATTTAGGATATCTTATTGAACAAATTCTTTGATATTATTTTTTAAACTTTCCTGATAGGTGATTACGTCTGAAATAAATAGAGTTCAATTAGGTTGAACAAGTTGTGTTTTGTGAGTGATTTTTTGCATCAATATAAAAAGGGGTAGGGCGAAAGCATACCTCGCTGAAGGATATTTAGCGGATGAATTACAACTAATATAATCTCTAATATCTCGGTCAAAAGTGTTATTTAACTCCCCCATGCCCTGCTCGGATAAACTGCATTCTCCATCTTCATTCCTGAGGTCTGTTTTAAATTAAACGGAAAATGCCTAAAAATGCCACTGAACTTTCAGAAATGGCCTATTGATGTCATCCGTTAAAAATTTATTATATCCATGCCATTGCCGTTAAAGAAATGGCCCAACTATGTCATTATTTGTCTAACGGAGGGAATTTATTTTTTTTAAATAATTATTACACTTGAATTTCCACGTGTTATGTTTTTATTTGTCCGAAATAACCCCATCCCCACTTAATTCTAACCTTAGTTAGGTCCACTACCCATCCCCAAACCCAACCCGGTTAAAACAAAACAAATCCCCTTCAGCAGATCCCCTTCTTCTTCCCCAAATTTGCAACCCTAAAACCTCCATTAATTCCAATTTCTCCATTATCAATCTGAAATTGTAACCCTAGCTCTCTAGCATATCATTTCACGTTTCCCCCAACGTAACTTTTTATTGTTAAAGAGTTCAAAATGTCCGTTGGGTCAAGCGGCTCAATTGACTCAAAGAGGAAGTTCGTTTGGGATTTGTAGCGCATCATTTTACGGCGACAACTCCTATGAACTGTGGGAGACGTTTTTACAAGTGTCCATTGCCTGAAGTAAGTATAATTTACATAATGCAATTCGGCATTTTTTGTGTAATGTTTTATTTTTGTCGGAACATAATCGGAGATTTTATTGCATAATTTCTTGGCAGAAACAAGGTTGTGGGTATTGGGAATGGGACGATGTTGAATTTCCCCCGCGAGCTATAATCGTCATTAGCAGTCAAAAGAGAAAATTGGAATTGTTTTGTTTAACCGGGTTGGGGTTAGGGATTTGTTTTGTATTAACCGGGTTGGGTTTGGGGATGGGTAGTGGACCTAACTAAGGTTAGAATTAAGTGGTGCTGGGGTTATTTCGGACAAATAAAAACATGACACGTGAAAATTCCAGTGTAATAATTATTTAAAAAAATAAATTCCCTCCGTTAGACAAATAATGGCATAGTTGGGCCATTTCTTTAACGGCAATGGCATGGATATAGCAAAGTTTTAACGGATGACATCAATAGGCCATTTCTGAAAGTTCAGTGGCATTTTTAAGCCTTTTCCGTAAATTAAAAAACTATCAATATTCACTTTAAGTTTGAACAGCTGTTGCAGAAACATGCTTGCATATTATTTCCGTTTCAAAAACTATGATGCTCAAAATTAAAGTTGAAAACTGAGCAGTCTATTTTGCATGCTAGGCACGCTCAGGTCATCCGGTTGGTGGTAATATAGGAATTGACGATCACTTCGTTGGACCGATTGGCTGTAGTATAATTATTAACCATGACTTTTGGTACTTTAATTTGTGCGTAATGCCTTGATCTATAAAAGTTACTTGCTTGAATTGGCAGGTCATTCGGCTACCCGCTGCAACCCAGGATCTACCAAGATCTGTGGTCTGCAATGTGCATGGAGTTAATTAATCCAAAGTTCCTTTATATAAATTGGGCTTAGAACAAGAGAGAAGCAGCAAACTGACAACCAAGCTTTCAGCAAAGGTGTCTATTATATTGGTAACAAGTTGTGGAACAAAGGGTACAAGGAGCTACTTGATCTTTTACGTGATCATCAAAAGGAACTTTCCGGATTTGAGATTGATTTATATGGTAACATCAAAATTTGTTTGAAGAGCACGATGGAGGAGCGGAATACTGAAAGTGTAAGTCTAGGATCAACAGGGAAGGGCTCATATGTCAATCAATTTGAGTGTCTAGGACAAGATCAAAGCCTCTCTACCATATGTGATTTGAGGTACATATGGTGAGAGCATCTCGGAAGTTTGTCTCACTAAAAACATGTGATCCCAACGATTAGTTAAAACGTTATCAGAAACGAGGAACTTGCAAATTGCAATGGGTTTAATGTAGCCTCGTTATTCTCTGTTTACCTTTTGTTAATTTTTCTTATTTTACTTACAACAACTAATTTAATCTCTGCCATTCATCTGAAAAGTTCCACTACAACTGAAAAGAAGAGGTGATATTACTACTAGTGCAAACCTTGCGAGAAACATAACACGTTTGAATGAGACATACTTGATATCTCATATATCAGTATACTAAAAATACAAAATATAACTTAAAAATATAAAAATTTTAGAACAAGACAAATAGAGGTAAAACTAAAAATACATGCATAGCCAGTTTCATCTAAACTCCATTATCAAGCAAAACTCTTTATTCATCAGCTTGCCAAATGCAAGTATGATCACAGAATATTTGTATCCTACATGAAACCCGTATCAGAATTGAAAAAACCGTTACCTCATATCCACATTCCCCCTCCCAAGAAATTGACACCAATGATAAATCTTTGCACTGGAGTAGACCTATTAGCCAACAATCAACCATTTGAATATCTATCAATGAAAAAACCGACAATATTCATTACTATGTATTACAGTTAGACAATAAATTCCTTACTCTAAAGCAAGATGGAAAATCAAATAAAATTACTTAATGCTTTATCAAAAATAAAATGAAATTTACTTAGAAAATCATGAAAAGAATCTTTACCTTCCACCAAGCACACCAAACTAGTATATCATATGAAGATATGAAAGCGCTGCATAAAAGTAGCAAATATTTCAATAAAGCATCAATTTTGGGCAGAAAAAGAATATCATCAAAGCTACACACCATAAAAACTTAAACTTACTAAACTTAATTGTATAATTATCAATAAACGAAGATGTGTGAACAATAATCATGATGATACCCGATTGTAGCAGAGAAAGAGAGATCGAAAGACTTCATATTCGAATAAGTGGAAACAGACGGAATTCTTCTCTTAATTTTAAATAATATATCGTCTGTAGGAATTTGAACTCTACCAATCTCGTCCCAAGTCGCTACTTTGCTTTCTTAATCCTTCTCGTCTACCACAGTATCAAAGGCACAGAAGAAGCAACCGGCGGAAAACATTGGAGCCGCTGTAGTAGGGTCAACCTGCAGTAGAGTAAAGTAGACCTAGAAGAATCACATCATTAGAGCAGTCGTTCTGGTTTAATTTATTTGTTTCACATATTTAAAAGTTACACATTAGGTAAAAGTTCCCTTCTTTGATTTTAATTGTTGGTAACTGCTTATTAGTATTGCGTCATTTAAATCAAAATGTCATAAAATCCTCACGTTTTTATCAAATGGCATTATATTAGCAACAATTTTTAATAAATGTCACAAATATAATCAATTTCTGACATTTATTATAAATATGTCACTAAATAAATGTGGCTAAATGTGGCTGTAGCCCTTATTTCTTGTAGTGAGTATAAAATTGGTCCACAGATTACTACTACATACAAGTGGAAAGGACACACTTCACTTCTGTTTCAACCACCTAATTCAGATCCATAAAATTGATCAAAATATAGCATTAATGAAAAACAAGATATTTAGCGCTAAACCATCAAATTCGTGAAGTTTGAAATCATACCAATAAGAAAAGCATAGACAAAAAAGGACCCAGATAGAGAAATAGAGCAACGATCTTCTCACATATAGGCTCGTCGTCGGAGAAAGTCACCGAGGGTACCTATTCACGAGGAGAAGGAGAGTCTTTGCGTCTGTCGTTTGAGAGAATGAAAGATGACCCATTTTAAGTCTGAGTGAAATTGGGAGTAGTTGGGACTAGGGGTTCTAAATATTATTTAGTCTTTTAAAATTAAATCCCCACCCGCGACCCGCCCCGCATTTCTTTTTTAATTTTAAAATTGAACCCGCCCCCGCAACCGCAAAATCTCAAACCCGCACCGCCTCGCTAACGTTCAAACCCGCCCCGCCCCGCACCCGCACCGCCCCATTGCCATCCCTATCTCTGAGACAGTAGTGGTGCTTCTTGGCCATAATATTAGATTGCTTTCTTATATCTAGAAACCCAAATGTGAGGTGATATGACGTAGACAATTCTCATGGTTAATAGCATATATTTAACCATTATTTTTTTAAGGTTCTTGGTACTATAATATTCATTAGTGATGTCGTAGCTGGAATTTCAAATATTTGGTGGTTTAGGGTTGCGGACAGTTCCAGTAGTTAATAATTTGATACTTCTTAACTGTGAATCATATTCTGATTACTTCGCTGTGTAGCAATCTGGAACTCAAATTGTGAGGTGGTTTACTGTAGTACCTAAGTTAATAATGTGTCCCAATCTTATTTTGGGATAGATTTGATCATGTTATTATATTCTTTCACGTTATTGTAGCTGAAATCCCAAATGTGATATTGTTGCAGCAAATCATTCACATGGGAACAATGCTTTTGAAGAGCATAAGATGGTGGATGTGCTTTATGTAATAATAGCAGTTTTACTCCATCC